CTAGCTATTTAATTCCTATATTTTTAAATTTTCTTGAACTTAATCTTCCTTTTCATCTTTTTGCAATTTATCTTGATGTTTTGTTTCAAAAAAAAAAAAAAAAGAAGTAAAAATATGAAAGGATTAAAAAAAGTAACGTTTTTGAAATAAATTAATATTAAATTAAATATGATGATTGAGAAGTTAAATAATTAATTTTTAAAATAAAATTTTAATTAATTCATTTTTCAAAACTAATGTCGCTAATTTATAATTTACTCTATCAAATAAAGATGGAGAATGCATCAAGTGGACCCCTGGTACTGTACTCTCAGCTTGGAGTCCCAGGGTTGATTTTGGCATTGAGCACAAAAAATGAAAAATAAAAAAAAGGAAAGTGATATTGATTTCTTTTTTTATCTTGGGCAGATAATTATGTCCGAAGAAGAGTAAATGCGATCTTGGGCAGAGAAGTATGTCCGAAGCAGAGTAAATGCAAATGTGATTCAGAGATAACAATCAATAAAGCCACTTTTCTTTAGACCCTACTAGGTTTTTTTGTCTACATTATATAACGGATTAAATATAATATATAAAATTATTTTAAAAAATTATTTCAGTTTAATAATCTGTTTTATTATGTAAATCTATAAAAATATATGAAATCAAAAATAAAAATATATTTATAATTTTTTAATAAAAAATTTTATATTTAACTATTTCTTATTTTTATTTTTCATAATTTTTTATTTATAAAAAGGATTTATTCTTGTTAATCTATGGATTATTAACTAAAAAGAAAATTAAATAATTTTAAAAAAAACTTTAGTATTTCACAAGATTGTGTCAAAAAACAAAAAAAACAATTATTAAAAGCTTATATAAAATTGAACAATTGTTTTTATTTTTATTTCTTGTTGATGAGAATATCAATTTTTGAAAAAAATATAAGTTTAATTTTTATATATTTATTTACAAAAGAATGAATAATATCAAAATAAATTAAAATTGTTAGTAAATATAATTTTAAATTAATTGGATGAGAATTTAAAAGAAATGATAAATTAAAGTAGTAAATTTTACATAATAAAAATAATTAACAAAAAATATTAAAATAAAATGAGACTAAATCACAATACAATTAAAGTTTGAAATTGAAAAAAATATATAGAAAATTGAGGACCATATAATTTTAAATTAATTGGATGAAAAAAAAGACAAATGAAAGAAAATTACATAAAATATTTTAATAAAGCATTAGTATTTCATAAGATTGTGTTGAAAAATTTGTATTAAAAGCTCACATAGAATTGAACAAATAATTTTTTTATTTAATGTTGATGAGAATATCGATTTTTGAAAAAAAATATGAATTTAATTTTTATATATTTATTTACAAAAGAATGAATAATATTATAATCAATCAAAACTCGTCATTAAATGTAATTTTAAATTAAGTAGATGAGAATTTGAAAAAAATGACAAATTAAAGTTGTAGATTTTAAATAATAAAAATAATCAACAAAAAACACTAAAACAAAATAGGACCAAATCACAATACAATTAAAATTTGAAATTAAAAAAAAAATTGTATAGAAAATGCGAGGACCGTATAATTTTAAATTCATTGGATGAGAATTTAAAAAAAAATAACAAATTAAAATACTAAATTTTAAATAATAAAAATAATTAATACAAAAATATAAAAATAAAGTGGGATCAGATCACTATAGAATTAAAGTTTGAAATTGAAAAAAAAAGTATAAAAAAATTTGAGAACCAAAGTATTAAAAAAAAAGCCATGAATAGTGAAAGGAATAGTGATTTGTGAGTGTGTGAATAGTAAAATGTGACTATGTGAACAAGTGCATGAAACGATGAATCGGGTGTTTAAAAATAATCAATAAAAAACACTAAAATAAAATGAGACAAAATCACAATACAATTAAAGTTTGAAATTAAAAAAAAAATTTGATAGAAAATTTGAGGACCATATAATTTTAAATTCATTGTATGAGAATTAAAAAAAAGATAAATTAGTAAATTTTAAATAATTAAAATAATTAAAAAATACTAAAATAAAATGGGATCAAATCACAATACAATTAAAGTTTGAAATTGAAAAAAAAAGTATAAAAAAATTAAGGACCAAAGTGTTAAAAAAGTCATAAATAGTGAAAGAAATAGTGATATGTAAGTGTGTAAACGAGTGTTTGGAATAGTAATCGAGTGCTTTGTTTTAGTTTGTTTCACTAGTATATATCCCGCACGTTGCCATGGGGTAAAAGGTGAGTTATGCAACATTCGTATGTATTCATTTATATAAAATACAAAATTTAAAAATAATTATATAAAGGGATTACAAAGAAAAAAAAAAAAAGAACCAAAACATGTATCTCATACTTTGTTATAGGGTTAGCTAGATGAAAAGTCCGCAAAGTTTGATAATATAAAATTTCTAATTACAGATTGTGTTTATATAAACATGTTTTTTATTAAAAATATGTATAATAACTAGTAACTAAAATAATGATATGGTAGTTTTATGAATTTTAGATGATTAATTTTGACCATATATTCTTTATCGGTAATTTTTAATGAGATAGAGAGTCTACTCAAAACAAAAAGGCAAAAAAACTTATTTAAATCAAGAATTTGACAAAAAAAATAAAGATAAAATTACACACGATAAAAATTAAATGATCAAAATAAAGTAAATATTATAAAAGAAGGATCAAAATAAATAAATAAAATTTCACTAAAAGCACAAAAAAAAAAAAAAACAATAGACTAAAAAATTCATTATGCATAAGGTAGGAATAAAAATAAAACATGATAGAATTTTAATGATTAAAATAAAAAAAAATCATAAAATAATAACCAAAACAGAAAATATTTTTTACTAAAAGCAAAAAAGAAAAAAAAACACCTTAGAATAGTAAAACTATATTTAATTTTAGTGCGAAAGAATAATAATCAAATATAATAAAATTTAAATGATCAAAATAAAAAAATTAATTACAAAATAGGGACTAAAATAAAAATAAAATTCTACATGATAGTAGGAATTATAACAGAAAGAAAAGTTTCACTAAAATAAAAAAGAAAAAAAAGCTTAAAATAGTGAAACTTTATTTAGTTTTAGTGTAGTAAGGATAAAAATTAAACATGATAAAATTTTAATGACTAAAATAAAAACATATCACAAAATAGGAATAAAAAAATCATAATTTTTTACTAAAAGGTAAAAAAAAATATTTATTATAGGGATAAAAATCAAATTTAATAAATTTTTAATATTGATTATAGGTATACAAATCAAATATAAGAAAATTTTAGTGATAAAAAAACAAAAAGAGGCCTTACATACAGCATGCAAAAAAAAAAAAAAAAAAAAAAAAAAAAAAAAAGATAAACTGTTAATCCAAAGTGAAAATGTAACAGTTATTTTACGTTTTTTTTTTTAGTTTATTTTGTAATTGTAATATTCTAAGACAAAATAAAAGTCATAGATTGTTACATTTCATCAAAGTCATACAGCCTTTCCCCTTCAGAGTCTAATATTCTAAAATATGCTGCACGTTTTCTTTTGCAAGTGGTTGATGAATAATTAATTACCGAGATTGACTATCGTAATCGTACTCAAATGGAATTTTTTCGACCTTGACCCAATTAAAATTAACGATGAATGAGAACATGCATGTTCATTTTAAAAACATGCTTTCTGACGTATCTGTACGTGTAAATTAATTTCATTAAAGAGTCCAAGTTATATTAATTAAATAAGCATAATAGATAATTTCATTATTAATTAATATATAATAATAATGGATAATATTGACATCATCACGACATCACTTGCTGATCAAGCAGCAAAAAATTAGGAACCCTAAACTAGTTTGAATTCCAAGTTTTTTTCCCCCTTCTCCTGTGCAATGAGAGATTCATTATGCTTTGAACAACACAATCAAGGGTCGTTGTGCCTCCCTAATTTAGTTACTTCATTTAAGTAGGAAATTTATGCAAATTTAGGTCTTTCTACGTTATAATTGATTTTCAATCATTTCAAGCAATCACACTTTTTTTTTTCTATTACGATATATATATATATTTTTTATGCATGATCCTTTTTCATTAAAATTGAATTGATAAGGATAAAACCCGAACTTAAGACTTTATCCCTTTTATTTATGCAAATAGTTGGCTAGACTACACATTTATTGGTATACAAATTATTATCCAATAATTTACGATTTTGAATTAAGTGTTTTTTGACACGATATAAAAACTTATAAAGCAAATGGTTATATATTCATTTTAATATTTAAGTTTTTCTAATGAAATTTATATTTAAATAGTAAATTTAATATATCTGCCAGACCCTTAAAATTGCAAAGGTCTATTGAAGATTGTGATGCTTAAAGCATTTAACACAAAAAAAAAAAAAAAAAAAAAAAAAAAAAGAAAAAAAGAGAGAGTTAGCGGTGATAGAGAGTGCTTAAGGGAAACAAATATGAAATTGAATAAGTAAACTCAAGTAAATGTTTTTAGATTTGAAATTTATATTGAGCCTATCAATGTATTCCATATATATATATATATACTATTTTTGATTTGATATATATATATATTACTTATTATTTATTTATTTGAACAATAGGATCCTATAAATAACTATGGTAACTTACGATAGTTCTTATCTAAACAGAAATAGCATCAGCACAACTTAGTAATTTCTCGAGCATATTATAGTCCAAGGGACATTTCCAATACATGTCGACTTGAAAAAAAATTATGGGTCCGACCGTAACACGATCATGCTGGGCAACAGGGAAAGTTACCTTCGGAAAACAGATGCGTGGAAGATTCCAAGCAACCCCGTGTGCATTTCACTCCTTTCTCTCTCTCTCTCTCTATAAATTACCATTATATGAACATTACAAGTGATTCTAGTCCCAACCATACCGAAATCTTAATAGCTATACCAAGAAAGAAAGAAAGAAAGAAAGTTCAGAGCTAGGATGGATACGGTGCCACCAGGTTTTCGTTTTTACCCAACGGAGGAAGAGCTGGTCTCATTTTATCTGCGTAACAAGCTTGAAGCAAGCAGAGATGTTCTGCTACGGGTTATGGACCGTCTTATACCGGTTCTTGATATATATAGGTTCAATCCATGGGAGCTTCCACGTAAAAACCTTCTCTTAATTAGTTAAATGTTCTTAATTTCTCACGTTATTAGAATCCTTCATTTTCTTTCCTAATCTATTTCTTTCTCTCTATGCTTAATTTATACATCCTTTGATAACTGTCATTAACGAAGGATATTGACGACAGAAAATATATGAATGAAATTAATCTCATGAAAAGAAATTTACATATATATCAAGTTCTCTTTCTCATTCAATTACTTCGATTATTCAGAATTTTCAGGAGATTATTTGTGCCATGGACACCCCGACGAATGGTTTTTCTTCATTCCAAGACAAGAAAGCGAAGCCCATGGAGGAAGGTCAAATCGACTCACAACCACAGGATACTGGAAAGCTACCGGCTCTCCTGGTTTTATTTACTCTTCCAATAGTAATCGTAGCATTGGTGAGAAAAGAACCATGGTGTTCTACGAAGGAAGGGCTCCAAATGGACGAAAAACCGACTGGAAAATGAATCAATATAAAGCTATAGATGAAGAAGCATCCTCTTCAAGTGGTGCCCATCCAATGGTGCAAACTATATACTACTACTATAATGTATATTGTGATCAATTTAGATAATTTATTCAACCAAGTGAATTAGGAATAATTATTTTAATATGCTATTAATGTTGAAATTTTATATAAACAATTATTCAAAATTCATCTAACAATTTAAATTTTTAATACAAGTAGTTATAAGTGGTTCCAATCCAACCATTTTTTTTCTTTTTTATTTATGAATATAACCCAAAACCATTCTTTTCTTTTCTTTTTTCCTTATGAGCATGAAATCATTCTTAAAATTTCATGTCACTGTTTAAGTTTTTGGATTAAGTAGTTATTATGTTGACCTCCATCATCATATCTTATTCATATCATCGAAAAGATTGTAATTTCACAGAGAAGTGGCCTATAACGTTAAAGTCCCATTTCCTATGAAGTAGGGTGCTGCATTTATTAAGATCATAATGTTTTGATTTTGAAAAGATTCAACCTTTTTATGTTTTATGTCTTGGTTATATTTTGCAGCTAAAGCAAGAATTCAGTTTGTGTCGGGTGTACAAGAAGTCCAAATTCGTGCGAGCATTTGATAGACGGCCATTAGGAGTGGAGACGGGTGAGAAAATGAGAGCTCAAGCAGCCCACGGTGCTGATGAGGCCACAACATCCCATCAAAACCCTTCAACGGTGCAGATAACATGCTCGCATGATAGTTCATCCTTAGAAGACCATGGTCAGCCCTTCCAAACTGGAGAAAGTAGCAACGTGGCAATCATGGATGTTGATACTGAACCTATTTGGGATTGGGCGCAATTAGATTGGGAACTGAAGTGAGCAGGGACAATATTGGAAAAAGTCCAATTAATCTCCATTTATAGCTAAAGAAAAGGAAGGAGTCTTCTATTATTTATGGAAACAAAAAACAACTTCATGCATGGTTCACCTTAATATGTAATTTTTATCTATATTAATCACATAATTTCCATGTATCTATGGAACAAATTTCAGAACTATATAGGGTTGTTGCTTTTTTGTTATATCAAATTATGTTTCTAACGACTGAAATTAATGTTGCAACCTCTTTTAATTTCAGCTGCATACTATGCCAAAAAAACCTACTAAACATGAGAAAGAATAAGGAAGATTTTATGCTCGTACATTTTCTGAACATTTAACCAGTATTTCAGTGAGAACGAAAAGGTAAAATAAAGGAAGAAAATCATGTGGATGAATTCTCTTGAATGTTTAACGACCTACTAAATATATATAGCGTCGTTTATGTGCTAGCTACGAGGAGGATTTAGCTATTTCACTCTATGATTAATTGGTTACAGAATTTACTCGCAGTTTATATGTTCATGCATGTATGTATTGTTAATAAATAAAATCATTGCTTAATACTCTGAAAGATTACTAAAAACATCAAGGGATCTAAGAATATATTTCATCTTAATTTGGGCAGATTTGCAAACAGGTGTTTTCGCCACTATGAACTATTATTACTGGCTCCTAATTAGGCTATCTAGATATTCATTTTCTCAAATAAACAACCAGCTTGTTATTGAGATTGTTTGCGAGTTGTTTCTTTGTTTATCTTTTTATCCAATCAATTTCTGCTTGAGGAGAATCGACCATTTCTTCCACATGGACAAATTGTATGCTTCAATTTACAGCAGATAAACATTCTATTATGTTTGTTTGAATATGAACAATGCTAAAGATAATTAATTAGTTTGGTGTAAATATTCTTTATCTTCATTCTTTTTTTTCTCCGTATAGTGGAGTAGAGGGAGCTATCTCGGAAAAAAAAATGGATCGAGGTTTGAAACCAAAATATAGTTTTGTTACAAAAAAATGCAGAAATCAAAATAATATTTGTGTTTTGCGTTTAAAATAGTAATAAAAAATTAAAATAAAATTTAAAATTTTTAATATAAATAAAAATAATTTCATTAATTATAATAATATTAAAAATAATAAAAATGATTGTTGTGGTGGTTACGGATGACTTAAAAATGAAGAGTTAGTGTGGAAATTTTGCTTCTTTGTCAACAAGCCATCGTTATTATTTTCTGACCGAAAAACAAAAATTGAAATCGATGTTTTTCTTATCAGTTGAAAACCCAATTTTCCACTCATCCAATCAACTCGATCTTTCTCCATTTTAGTCACGGCTCACCTCGACAATTTTTTTTATTTTCCAACCTTGGAGAATTGACAGTCTTCTAGCTCACAAAAACACCAGCGGAGCATTTATGATGCCATGGTTTAATTCCACGGGAGCAATTAAGCTAAATTCATCACTGCAATGAGAAAAGAAAAGTCCAAGAAAATAATCATAATTAAAAAAAAAATAACAGTTTAAGCTGTCCGAAGGTAACGGTGTGGATGAAAGGGCTGCTACTTTCAATCACTCGCCAACATTTCCCTGGGTTGATGAGACACTGAAAAGAGAAGATAGTTCGAGTTGGGCTTGGTTCTCCGAAGGACACAACAGAGTTATCTGGGATTTTTATCTAAGAACGACCACTTGTTATAATGGAACGGTTTGGTGTATAGTATGAGTAACAGATAAATTTGAACTGCAAAGCATACCTTAAGATACCAGACAATCCTAGAAACATGGATTGTAAAAGTCCGAAAAATATGTAGCATTTATTCTTTAGTTCTAGAATTTGTGTTTTCAGACGGTCTTCCTGTTGTGCTGCTTTAATCTTTGTCTCTTTTGCTGGAGTTGTTGGGAATATGAACATACCGGAACTGAATTCAGAAATAAGAAAGATAAGAGTATCCCATTTAAAACAGAACCTAATGGGGAGATACAATGTCAAGTCAACCGAACACAAATATCTCATAGTAATATACTTAGGAAGATATAAATACAACTGATTTACAAATGGGAAATTGTATATTTCTTTTCCCGTGTATGTGCACATAGATCATTGACATATGACAACTTGTCCACTGAATATGAGCATGCAAGTCACATCAGAATTTAGCAGTTTGGCACCAGTCACCACTCATCTTCTAGGCTAGCGCGGTGAAAACACATGACAGTGCAGACAAAGATGACAAAGGATGTGAACTCAATCCACATAGCCCCTGTTTCAATCATTTGAGCATGCCTAAGGATAATAGGAATGGCTATGCTCCCAACAGCCGAAGCCCCCGTCAGGAATTTAGCAGCATCTATCCAACTGCAACGCAAGATTTTCAAGTAAATCAACAAAATGTTGTGAGAGGAGAAGCCATGACAAGAGCAAGGAAAATGTCAATGTGACTAGCTAATTAAGACATTCCGGCATAATTAATGGAGGCATATTTAATGGAGTAGCCTTGCATTGTATGCAAAGCTAGATACATATGATAGAAGTGCCCGGAAGTCAGGAAGTTTTTTGATCTATCAAAGATAAAAGTTTGATTTGTTTGGTAGGTTAAGAAAGATTCTCAATTTAGAACATCAATTCTCCATCTCCCCCCGCACCCAAGCATCCCCCTTTACTCTCTTATGTTTCTTCCTTCAATGCAAAATTCCTACTCTTCTACCACATTCCTGTAAAAGCGACTTGCAAGTTTGGAAGTCAATAAAAACTTTTGTTCGGAATTATTAACCAACTACATGCAATGAATGTTTTCATGCACGAAATATAATCGTGAATCAGTGATTGGTCCTGATTATAATGGGAAATTTTGCAAAAACAAATATTCCAAGAGACCTAAAATATTTTAGCAACAAAAGTGGAGGGCAAATTATCTGCAAGGGAAAAGAAAAGGGGGAAAAAAACAGAGAGAGCAAGAAACCACATAAAGATATGAACACTGACCAACAATCTTTGTAGTTATAAAATAACTAATAGAATGTTATATAGGGCTTCTGTTTAGTACTCACCCCCCACCATCCCTGCTGGTCAGAAACTGAGTGGACCCACCCCCAAAGAATAAGCAAGGCATAGGCACCAGCACATACATGAGAGCTGTAGGAACAGTAAATTCACATTATCAACTTCTCGACCAATCAACCTCTCAATGCATCATTCATCTACTTCACAGGTCAGATATAACAAACCTGATAACATTGGCCACCAATTATTGTATATTGCACAAGCCTGCCATCCCAAAAACATTGGCAAAAAATCAATAAATAGAAAAACATAATACATGCGATCCATTTTATAGAAAAAGCTTTTAGGCTTCCATTTGGCATTCTTTCTCCAGCCTGGTGCTCATCACCAGCATTATTGTTCATAGAATAACAAAAGCTACCACAAGTATCCATCCAACATGATAAGACACAATGAAACAGTTCCCTGATAGGGAATTTTATAACAAATAAGTCCTGTTGTAGTTGCTATCTCAAAAAATTGGTCGAGGACAACTACACACGTCTTCTCCGTCCATTCTGTCATATCTAAGGTCATATTCTCTATAGAATATCAAGAAATGAAACCATGCTCTTTCTTTAAGAAAAAAATAATAATAAATTATTTAAGGTTTACATGTTACCTTAATTTTCCTTGATAAGCAAAAACTTTAGCACCAAGACGGTGCAACCCATATACAAAAACATGCACCTCATGTTCAAGAAAGTGATTCTACAAAACCTCTAATTGACAAATATCTTCAAGACATCATTTCCAATTCCAAAAGCATGGAATTATAGCAATCCTTCAATCTAAACCAACATAGAGAGGTGACAGCTCCACCTCCACAGCCCTAGAATTGAAGGATTTTTCTCAAAAAATACAGCCTCCACTCTAGCAGCAAATTAACTAGGGTTTCAAAGGTCAGTTTGGAGGGTTTAATTTGATGATCACACTTTTCTTTAGATAATCTAGGATTTATTCCAACCCAATTGCTGTTGCAACTAAAGAAGTACAAGATCAAGACAGTTTATTCATCTCTACCTTCCCCTATCCTAAAAGACAACCAAGAACTGAATAATGAAGCTTATTAGTGAATGATATCTAACGATTTATTTTTGTCTTAAATCCAAATAACCAAAGAAAAAATGAGCCAGCCAAGACAAATATTAAACCAAGCTCCACTTTGTTGCATTTGTACTTAAATCGTATCGAAAGCACCTAAGACTATACAAGCTCCTCAAGCTAGTAACAGCATGAAATTGAGCTTGTTCACAAAGGTAAAACTGAGATAATATTTAGCCTAAATCAAATATGACGATCTTCTCCACCATAAAAAGGTTGTCATTTCAAGATACTCTGAAAGCCACCTTGCCCAATATTACTTCGTGAAAATCCTGGCTTGCTTCATAATAGTTAACTTCTTGATCACTCACAATTCCATGTCAACAAATAGCAATCCTCTGTCCAGCCCTCTTTTCATATGGGCTAGAGACTTGATTATTAGATACAGTTTCACTGGCCCTACTGTGGCTTTTCAATAAGAAATTTCAATTTCTCCTTAACCTCTTGGTAATAGAGCTATGATTTTCATGAGATCTATGCAGTCACAGCTGAACGAGGCAGGCAAATCTTGGATTCTCTAATCTTAATGTGGTTAACATGGAAACTCTATATGGTTAAGGTTGGAAATTAACTAAGAAAACAGGTGATAGTTACCTTGTTTCATCAATTGATTTCTAGCCATTCTAAATGTCAGAATAGAATCAATCATCATCTTATTTTCAGATTAATCTATAATAGGAGTACATACCTTGGTCTATTCTTCACAGAAAAATACATGGCCTAAGATGTTCTGACTCATTAAAGATAATGACTAGATTTTGCAGAGAAGCATGCAATCTCTTCATTGTCCCATTATCCCAAGAAAATTTGACAAAAGAAGAAAAAAAGAAAAAGGCCAAAAGGAGGCATCGGGAGTAGAAAAAGCTAAGGATTTGCTTATGCACCTAAATATCTTTCTTTTATAAGTGTTGAGAGTAAGAAATGCAAATCCTAGAGAAAGCATTTAAAAATCGCATTGCATGCTAGATATATAATTCGTGAAATGAAATACATACTATAAGCAACAATTACGGAAGAATGCCACAACACAACCAATGTGATTGGAAGCATACCAATATCTGTAGCAGAATACTAGCCGAAAACATAAAAGCAAGCCCAGCAAGCCTGAAATTCAACAAAATCAAATAATAAGTAACCTCATTACATAGCCAGGACAAGCTGAGATTACAGATTAAACTTCCAAACTTACACTGCAGACAACGAAAATCATTCGATTGAGCCCAAATCAGCAATGCCCCAAAGCAGAAAAAAGAAAAAACAATTAGCCCCAAAAATTATTTTAAAATGATTTAATAACAGCTGATAAACACAATTCCATGCATTAAAACAATTAGAAAAACAGCAATATATGAATAAGCACTAAACTTTACTAGAAAGTTAATCCCCAAATCCGCGAAATAGCCTCGGCTCGACAACTTACATACACTAACTTTTTTCCTATAAACCTTAATTATGCTGTCAATTCTAAAATTACTGCAACTTATCAATCTAAGCGCCAGTATGCAATCGGCTAGATTAACTAATCAATCTATCATTAAAGATCAAATTTGAAAGAACCCCACAAAATCTTATCTCAAATTCGATACTTATCGAGTCCAAACCTTAGAAATCAAACCGAAGTAAGAAAACAAAAATTATAATTCGACACGCAATTTCCTTCAAGAAAAAATTAATTTTTTAAAGTTACGGTGAAAACAACAACAGATTGATTTATCATCCGAAGAAGTAACAAATAATAGATAATTAAAGAGATCGAAGAAGCGGAAAAATTGTTAAACCGTACCTTCAACTGTCATTGCCATTTCGTTAAACAACAAGGAAGCTCGGGTTTGTAAAGTTGGAGTTTTTCTGTTGTGTATGAAAGAAACGACGCGTTTTAGAAGGAATAGAGGGTTAAGTTCGGTTTTATCGTCAGGAAGTTACCGCCAAGAGAGAGGGTAGAAAGTACAAAAACTACAAGGTTTTCTTTTCATTTATATTTTTCTTTTTCTTTTTTCCATTTATATTTTTAAAATTTTTTATTAGATGAAAAATTGTTGTTTGTTTTACCTTAAAAATTTACAGTATTCTTCAATATGAGATATTTATACTTCAATAATGATAATTAATATTCACTCCATAAGGAGAGAAATAAATACAAGAGAGAGTGAAAATAATTTTTTATATATATAATTAAATCGTTTTTAATGAGTTTTAATATGAATTTACATCTATTTTTATTCTATAAAGTAAGTATATATCCGTAGGTTATCATAAAATTTCTCCATCACTATTTGTGATGTTCTCTTTTTACTGTAATAATGTAGGAAATAGAATTGAGTACTAAAGCAAGCTACGTTTTTTTTTTTTTTTTTTTTTCATTCATTAGTTTTATTACTAAAAGTTGATTTCTTGTGGCTCCATGCATGCACAACTTAATTAGAAAAAATTAAATGAAACTATGTTTTCATGAGTATTACTTTCTAACTAGTGAAAAGCTCGTTGCAACTTGTACTGTATATCAATTTATGTAGTATAAAAAGTTGATATATAATTTATTTAGCAGGAAAATCAAATATATTATAAATAATAATCTATTATCATATTGTAAATACACAGTTTTTATTAAACTCCACTATCTTATCTTGATTATTGTACATAATATATGAGATATACATATAAATGAAAAGAATGTTTTATTAATATGATCGATCGATGCTAATGTGAATTTGTAATGAATCTACAAAACCCTGATATATGAATGTTTACACAAGTAATTGAAAATTTAAAGTGATACTATGCAAACGTACCATTAAAAACAGAGAAACAACAAATTAAAAATGCTGATCTCATTGTGTTTATATACGAGTTTATCAAAATCTCAATCTGTTTAAGAAGTAATTAAATTTCCTACTTAGTTAAGAGCTAAATTCTAAACTTATATGTAAAGCTATTTATTAAAATAAATTCATTTTATATTACATCTATCGAAGTCAAACATCCTTTTTAAATCCAACTACAGATTTGTAATGCATTTTTTCAAATTGAAATATTTTTTTTTTAAAGTTCATACTGTTTAAAAAAAAAAACTAACAATATGCATAGAGGTAATCTATTCTACACTTTTAATACATATTCAATTTAAATATTTGACTCTTCTCAAATTTTAAGAGAAATACTAAAAATTATGTACATATGATTTAATAAATTTATTAAGAAATAACCAAATTGAAAAATAATGAGGACGTAAATGATAGATAATTCAACTGATATATTATCATAATTTTTAAAACAATTTCAGGGACCTTGATAACAATTGATCTGATCATATCAAAGGCATTTTTTACTCTCTTTTGTTTTTTTCTGATATTAGATTTAAATAATATATATATATATATATATATTAAATTAAAGCTTATAATTAACAAGAGTTTTCAATTGGTTTAGATAAGGACAGTACCAATAAATATATTACAATGAATTTTAATTCAAAGTTTTTCTTAAAAAACTTTTCTTTTAGTTTCTCTCTCGATATATATATATTTTTTTACATATATCAAATATCTTAATTCCATACACTTTGATTTTATTATTGATATATATTAATTAGATATATTGAAAACATACACATCAGCTACAAAAAAGAAAGGCAATTTCTTGAATTAAAATTATTAACTGTTTTGAATTTGAATTAAAATTCTAAAGTCAACGGTAAAAGATAACAAGAAAATTTACACAAAATATGGATATTAAAATATGCATAGCAGGTGTACAGATGTCAACAATATAAGTAATACACTTATCAATCTAAAAGATCCATACTTCAAAGTTACTATTATATAGTATTATTGTTAAAAAAAAACCTGCGGAGATGGGAACGATCCTCATACATCCAATAAAAATATTACGTCTTTAATACCAGCATATATCATAAGCGACCTTACTACACATAAGTATATTGGAACCACAACTTAAGGTGTTTTTACTAGTTGAACTAATTAAGCACGTCTTTCAAAAAGCTATTGAAATTGTTTGTAATGAAAATAAATAAGGAAACTTGTCTATACGAGAGTTAGATGACCGTTTGAAATAAAATCAATATTTTTCCAGGATTTTCATAGTTGGATAATCCAAATTAATATAAATTAAAATGGGTTTTAGAATTACTTTTCACATGAACTGAAGAAGAAATTATTACAGGTGGCTGAAATAATATTCTTATTTTTTGGGGCTTTATCCATAATAAATGAAATAAGTTTTAAATACTGTTATTGATATTAGGGTTTTTGTATACATATTGCTAGATCATGATTATTAGGTATATATCTCCACTAGCATGTTTTCTTTTTCTTTTTATCTTATTGGCCACCTAAATATTTTGCATATATATATATATATATATGCATGTGACAGGATCTAGCGTCTTGTACGTGTAATATTCGAAGGACCAGATTTGATTTTACGACATTTTAATAACCTCATACCTTTGTGCCGTGTAGACCATATTCATGGACAGGTTTGAGTTGATACGTATTGAAGAACTTTTAATTGAGAGGTAAACCCGAGTACATGGGCAGATTTGTTTTAGTATAATCGACTTGGCAGTTTGTCTCTTTTGCATGATGATAGTATTACTAGCATACAATCTTGCCCCATGTGCATGGAATTCAACTTTGTGATAAATTCTCCCTTTTTTTATTTTATCTGTTCATCTTTTCTTTTCTTTTTTTAGCTCTCTTTATTTGTGTGTTAATTTATTTTATGTAGTTGCGCTTCCATGCATTTGTACTGGATTTTTTTTTTTTTGGCTCATTTAATTATATTTGTTTCATAACATATTATCTGTTAAGCAGGTTTATTGAGTTGGCTTTTTTTTTCTTTTCCGGATATAATCCTAGGTACTAATAGAAGCTGAGACTAGCCTATAGAAGTGGGAGTGCCTAACACCTTCTTCCATTCAGCAGCAGAACACAGACGATAGCACAACACTCTATAAGAAATAAAAAATGTTCATTTTAAAAAAATTAATTGGATGAGAAGTTCTATAAGAAATAAAAAATTAAATGAATAAATTCTAAAAAATAAAGGTAATATAATTTGAATTATATTTTCGTTTTAAAATATGAAAAGATATCATATATATTTCATATATTTGTCAGCCTCCATGGCAAACCAAAAAATAATGTTCTAACAATTAAATGGCATTTTAAGATATTACCCTTTTTTCTCTTCTTTTCTTTTTTTCATTTTGATAGTTTGGGACAAGGAGATTTGAATCTGCTGGACCAATTCTCAAAATTTTCTAGCACACTGTCAACATATGCAAAATATAAGAATAGGATTCTGAATTTTCATTACGTAAAAAAAAAAAAAAAAAAAAAAACATATACAAGAAATATGCTAAAATATCTCCTAAAAATAAGATAATTGATGACTAAATTTAAGGATTGGTGATTAAATTTTAGAGTGAAAAATCTGCATAATACCATTAATATCAAATTCTTAAAATTGAGGACTAAGTATGGTAAGACTCATTCTCAAGGTGGAGCGACTAGATTACAAACTCCCAACTTGGATTTTAAAAACTAAAATGAATTATGGCCAATAGTTTTGGTGAATAAATCTATATTATGATGTGTATTTGAAATCTTGAGTACTCGAATTAACTTCTTCTGGAGTTTCCCACGGACAACATGACAATCAATTTTTATGTATCTAGTGCACTTATGAAAAATAAGGTCGGCGGTTATATGGAGTGCAGCTTGGTTGTCACAATATAGTGGTGTGTGAGTCGATGGAGAGAGACAAAGATTTCACAATAAAAGTAATCAAGTAAGCTCATATGTGATGACGATCATGACACGATATTTAGCTTAATAAAAAAATGAGAAATAATAGATTGGTATTTTGTTTTCCAAAAGATGGGGATATAACGAAGAAAGATGCAAAATTCTGTTGTGGAATGGCTGGTTATAGGACAACTTGGCCAATCAGAATAATAGTAAATGTATAGGTTAAGAGATGTCTGATAAGAAAAGTAAAGACTGGAATAGCTTTTAAATAACATAGTAAATGATAAGCTGCATCAAGATGGGGTTGTCATGGTTGATGTATAAATTAGCTAAGAATATTGATAGCATGCATAATGTCAGGCCAAGTAATTGTGAGGTAGATTAGACGTCCAAGTAAACGTCAATAAGGAAAATGATCAAGAAGTATGTAACCCATAGAATCACAAAGTTTCAGATCTTGTTCCATAAGAAGATCCATAGGCTTACAACCAATCATTTTGAAATCTTGAAGAATGTCAATGGTGTATTTACGTTGACAGAAATAAAGACCTTATTGCGAATGAGTAACTTTAATACCAAGAAAGCATTTTAGAGGATTAAGATCTTTGATATGAAACCATTGATGAAGAAGTTTTTAACTATATTGAATTAAAATTACATGAGGTCCTGTAATGAAAATATCATCAACATAAACAAAGGTGAAAACTAAACCTGCTTACTCGTGGAGAAAAATGAGGAATGATTAGCTTGAGATCGTGCAAAATCAAAGGTAAGTAATATGATAGAGAATTTGGAAAATTGTGAAGCTTTTTTTAGGCCATATAAGGATTTATGTAGTTGGCAAACAAGATTCTTCCCTTTTTTTTATGATATTCAAAAGGAATAAACATATAAACTTCTTCATCAAGGTCACCATAGAGAAAGGCATTATAAACATCCAACTAATGTAAACGTCAACCATAGACAGTGGTAACAACAAGTACTCAGACTGTAACAAGCTTTGCTATGGAAGCAAAAGTATCATGATTATGAATGCCTTCAACTCGAGTGTAGCCTTTTGCGACAAGATGCATTTTGTGATGTTTAATTGTCCAATCAGAATTTCTTTTCATTTTATAAATCCATTTTCAACCAATGGGTTTCTTTTCAGGTGGTAATGGAACTAGTGACTAAGTTTTGTTGTTGGAGAGAGTAATAATTGCAGCTTGTATCGCATCATGTCATTTTTTAAATTTCATAACTTTGAAAAAAGTGACAGGTTCATGGATTATAGATAAAGATTTAAGAAAAAATAAGTGAGATAGACTAAAAGAATTTTAATTTAATTTTTTCAAAAAGGATGGCATATATCTGAACCAGTGGGCAAAGAAGAAGGAGATCGGGTATTAGATCATTGATAGTCTTTAAGATATGATGGTTGTTTGTGTGATTGAGTGGAGTGAAGAATTGAAGTTTTAATACAAGGAGATGAAGATGAAGTAGGGAGTGGTGGGGCATCAAGAGTTTCTACGTTCTCTTGGTTGGTGGGCGGTGGGTGCAGTGTTGGTTATGTGAAAGGTATTTGAGGCTCTTCATGCTTAACGAACGATAACGGTAGAACTGATGAAGTGTTGGTAGGAGAGGGAAGAAATGTGTTTGGAAAATTTTATTCATGAAATGTAACATCCCGAGTAACATAGATTTTTTTGTCGGAATGTCAAAAATTTTAAAATCCCTTATGGCCATATGGATATCCAATAAATATGCTAGGAAAAGCATGTTTATCAAATTTGTGTTTAATTGATGTATTATTGCCAAAATATAAACATCTAAAAACTTTTAAATGAGATAAAATTAGTGGTTTTTGAAAAAGAATTTCATATGAGGTTTTGCCACGAAGAACTAGCACAAGTAAATGATTGATTAAATAGGCGACAGCCAATACATATCGCCTCTAAAATTTAATGATAAGTTTACTTGAAAACAGAGTACTCAAGCAATATTAAAGAGGTGTTGATGTTTACACTCCACAATGTTAATTTGTTGTGATGTGTCAACACAACTAGATTGTGGAATGACACCTAGTGAACTAAAAAAATCAAAATTTGATTTATTAAAAAATTTAGTGCCATTTTCAAAATTGAATTTGTTAAATTTGAGAAGTAGATTGAGTTTTAATCATATATATATATATATATATATATATATATATATATAAGAGACTATGAACTTTAGATTTATTTTGCATAAAAAAAAATCCATGTACTATAGGAGAAATCATCAACCACAGTAAAAAAATAAGCATCGAATAAATACAATTTCTGATTGGTTCCCAAACATCAAAATGAATTAATTCGAAACAAAATTTAGATGAAATTATGCTATTAGAAAATGGTAACCAAGAATGTTTTGCAAGAGAGCAAATAGTGCAAGTACATTTATTTGATAGAGAAATACTATTATCTGGTGCTTTCAAGTTAATTTGAAGATGATAAAAAAGATGAAAGGCCTAAACGCCAATGCCAGTGGTTAAAGTGAGATCCATGAGCTATGGTGAAAGTAAAGGATGAGGGAGGCTGCTCCAAATAATAAAGACCACTATGCTCTTTACCCATTGCAATAACCGTCTTAGTCCGTTGGTTCTGAAATACATGGGAATTTGGAAAAAAAAATGTATAGACCAATTACTAATATCTATGAGTTTACTAATCGAAAGAAAATTGAAATAAAAAGACGAGACACATAAGACATGAGTAAGTGTAAGTCCAGGAAATAAAGTCACAGTTTCAATGTGTGCAATTGAAGCATGAATGCCATTAGGGAGATGAATGGAAGATGGGTGAGAAAGAGTGGTGTATAAAGTGAATAAATATAAATCAAAAATCATAAAATCAGTTATATCTAAGTCAATAATTCAAATAGTTGAATAATAAGATGTTGTTAGACAAATTTGTGTACCGGCCATGTTTGCCAAATGATTAATATTACATGGTGGAATTAATGCTGGCAAAAAAAAAAAAGCTCCAGGACTCTTTTAGGCTATACCATGCCAACATATGCAAAATATGAGAACAAAGTTCTGAATTTTCATATGTATAGAAGAAAATATATATACAATAAATATGCTAAAATATCTCCTAAAATTAAAATAACAGATGACTAAATTTAAGGATCAACTGCACAATATCATAAATAGCATATTCCTATAATTGAAGACTAAGTTTGGTAAGACACTCTTACTTATTGAAAATTCCATCCATACCAGTTTCATGCTACAATATAAAAGGATCCCTAAGCTCTAAACCTTCAAGAGTTGTAATTTGGTCAAAAAAGCAACAGCAATCCAATCCAACTCCACAGGTGACCAGCGCACATTATTGATCTCCGCCATTGATCCATACCACATTTCAGGTTCCCTTTGGCCAATTGTACTGTTTCCTGGTTGCACTCCGGCCTTGCTAACCACTTCCCATATCAGAGCCCTTGAATCATCACCTACGGAGCACATGTGCCGTCCGGGAGATGGAGCCCATGATATGGCATTCACACTTGCCTTATGCTTACTTAGCTCCATTAAAGGAGTTGTAGGAAAGCGAATGTCCAAAATTACAACCTTATTACTGTCCATGCCAACCGTGGCTATAAATCTAGGGTCACTTTTGTTCCATTCTAACCTTAACAAAGGACATTCTTGCATTGGATTTTCATAAATTATAGTTGATCTCTCTTTGTTCCTTAAATCAAAAACTCTAACCGAACCATCACCGGACACCGATGCGAAAATATTGAATCCACCCCAAGAAATATCATAAACTTCTTTATCATGTGCAACTAATTGAGCATCTACCATTTCCTTCTCTATGTCCCAGATCACACAAGTGGTATCGACACTTGAAGTGGCCACACGATGAACATCAAAATCAGCCCAATCAAATGAGGTTATGGCAGAACTGAATTCGCTACTCTTATTGCCATTAAGGAGAGACTTCAACTCGATTCTGTCGTCGTGAATTTGCCATATGCGCAAGTAGTCTCCGGAGGTGGCGATGATGTCAGGATTTGCAGCATCCTCGGAGGGGAAGAACATGAGGTTTGTAGGTGAATAAGGGTGGTCGAATATTAGGCGGTTATCAGTGGTGAAATCACAAGTGTCGCGGTTGAATTGAACAATTTCCACCTTGTTGCTATAGTCTTCAAGAAAACTTCCTACGGCAAGACGAGATTTTTTGTCATGTCGGACCGACCAGGCTAGTGAATATATAGGCCATTGAGCTATGTAAGTGTAAATGCCTGGTCTTTTCACTGAAGAGCTTTGCATGGTTGCTTTGATCGATTATGGAGAAGTGCACATAAGAAAGCTAGCCTTCAGTCCAATCTCTCTGCATGATATATAGTAGAATATATAAATAACAGTAATTTCATATCTTAATTTGTTCTCTACAAGTAAGTCACTCGTACTACAGGAGAAAATTTGCAAGAACTACATTGATAGTACGCACGTACCCAACAATACCATAAGGAATGCTTGATTTAATAATTTTAATTAAATGAGAAAATAAAAGTAGTAAGATTCAAAAAATTATGCCAAAAAACTATCTTAACTCAAAAACTTAAGTTGTTATTAAATGAAACTCTGAAAATAGTTTTTTATATATGTTACTAACAGTATGGCTTTTAGTTTTTCCCTCCTTTTTTAAGTAACAAAGGATTTCCATTCATTTTAATCAAAGAATTGATTCATCTACATATGTGATGAAAATCATGCTTTCCATTTTTTTTTTTTTGGCCGTATTTTAGATAGCAAATGGAATTTCCACCTTCTTTTACTGTATTTTAGAGGACAGATGACAAGTCTTTCCATTCATTCCTTTTCCCTAGTTTTCATTTTTTTTTTTTCCCATCACAAATGGAATATCAAGATTTTTTTTTTTTTTCAAAGGAAAGATATGTCATTTACAACCCCGGCGTCTTATAGAAAGAACAGAAGGACGAACCAGGTAACAAAAGTGGGATCAGAATGAATGGTATGCATGGTAGTTTGCTGGGCAGATCTTTTGCTCCCAGTGGTCCAGGGTTTAGTTATATGGAAAAGCATATCAAGGCCGGTGTATCAGTTGTGTGGTTTTATTTTTTTCAAAATAATATTGTTTTAAGCAAAGCCATAAGTTCTTAATATACTTTCAAACGAATGAAACAAAAAGAAAAAACTTCATTAATTCACCCATCTACATCAACACATATAGCAAAATTTAATTTTCTCCACATACACGACGACTTCTTAATATAGGACTCACAAAACAAACGAAAACAAAATTTTGTTTTGTTTCTCTTAAAAAAAGGAAGAATCACAATTTGTCTAGTAGCTTCATATTAAACATGTCCATTGGATTTTATATACGCACGTATATATATTTACAAACCCTTATTTAACAGAAGAAACCACAAACAAGCATACTTTGGGTACTTTAAATTTATTTAAAAGAATCACCAAAAGTTTTAGTTTTAAGATGCAAAGTAAACTAAATAGAGGATTTTTTCCGAAAATTTACTCAAATATCAAATACAAGATGGCATGAGAAGGCTATATTCAAAATAAACAGGGACTATTCTTGGCTAGCTAGTAGTTCGCCAGTCATGAGAGAAGGCTATATTCGAAATATTTCGTTTCTGAGGTAATAAACGTTAGAGAAGTTAGCAAAAAGTAACTAGACCTAAATGTGTTCAACACTCCCAAACCCTAAAATGCAAAACAGTACATTAATTGTTAAAAAACTGATGTGAAAATCAGCATGAATGAAGAAGAACTTGTTTAATATTATTTCCCTTTCATTAAATCTGCAAATCAGCCTTTGTTCTTTCTTTTTCATCTTACAAGTATGCTTATTTTTTGCCTCTTTGTTTTGTTATTCTCTCACCTCATTTCCTCCGAAACGTATACGACATGAATTTTTTTTAATCTCTTAATTATTAGTGTTACACCGTACTCCAGATATATACCTTATCCTGCCCGAAATGAAAGAAAAGAAGAAAAAAAAAGTTGAAACAAGTGATATACATATAGCTAGAACACACATGTAATTCAAAAATGCAATATAGCATTCAGGCAAAGTTGCATGTTTTCCATTCTATCACTGTCCCAGTTACTACTAAGAGATAGCGAGAAACTTACAGCACTCAAGAGCAACGAGAATCTGCGTGTGCACAAGAAGATGGAGGAGGTGGGCGGAGAGGACTTGGTGTAGGTATTTTTTGGACAGAAGCTAGCTAGGAACGGCGGAAGCTAAGACTTAAAGAAGAAATTAATATATAGGAGCAAATACGATTTAAATTAGATGTGGGTAGGTAGGTGAAGCTAATGGTCAAATATTCACGAGGACAATGCATCCGCGGTTGGTTCACTTTACTTCTGAGTAAGGTTGCACGTTTTGACCATCTACTCCATTTTCTTTTTTCTTTTTTTCTTTTTTTTTTCCATTTTTGGTGTAAGAGGCTTTCAAGTACACAGGAAGGACGTTATACAAATTAAGAACACTTGCATGTTTTAACGAGTTTTTATAAACCTTTAATAAGTATCTTAGGGGTTGTTTAATTATGTCACAAAGAAAAAGTTCAATTCAGTAGGAAGTTTCAGGTTTGAAATCTTTTAATAATTCCTTAGATGAGATAACATATATACTTAATTAATTTTAATTATAGATGTATTTTGGTCTTTAGTCCGAATATAGATGTGGTAAATATGTATCGACATGTTTATATGTTGAAGAAATTTTCCAAATATAATAATATTCTTTGGAAAATAAAAAAAATAAAAACAAGTTTTAAGAATGAAACACTCCTTAATTAATTAAGACAACCGTGACAGTAGAAGAAGATTTCTCTTCTCCAACCATGATTTTCATTTTTCTTTTTCCTTTTTTTAATTTTTCCCTTTTCTTAGGTACAGCCAACTCTTAATTAAGCCCGAACCGTACGTGCTTCCTAATATATATATATATATATAAAAAGATATTTTGAAAACAATACAGTTATTGGATGTGTAATAGAATAAGGATGGAATAAATTGGGAAATCATAAACGCAACTTGTTATACACTTCGTTATTAATTATACCGACAAAAAAAAATCAAAATCAAAATTATAGGGGAGGGAGAAATGAGTTTTTTTTTCATAGTAAGTCAATTTTAAATCTTATTTACCATAATAGGATAGTTTTAAATTTATTTATCAAAATAAGGTATTATATGCCATATAAGAATCATCTCATTTATATAAATTGACATATCAACTTTTTTTAAAAAAAAAAAATCATTTTGTTGAATAAATATTTTATCATCACATATTAATCTCCTCTTTTTTACTACCTTCTCTTTGTATTAGTCTATTCTTCTTCTTTTTCTTAGTCTTTTTATTCTTTGCTTATCTTTCTCTATTTTTTTCTCTAAATAATGATATAAAATGAATTTTCTAAATTTTCTTATTTGTCCAAAATCCTTACACCTAATAGTTTCTGTTGTGAATTGCAGTATCATTCTTTCTATTAATTAACAAATCCTCTTCAATAATATTTCTATCATAAATCTGTATCCAACAGTAGCTTTAAACATTCCAGCTGCACCTCGTACAACTATGGAGAAGTAGATAATATTGGTCATCAACCTTGACTGCTAGAGAAGATAAAGTTTGCTAGCCTTAATTCCATTGATGTAGGTCTTTTTTTTCTAAATAGCATTTCTTTAATCATTTCACACTTTGCATTGCTTTGATTCCAATGAAATCTCAAATGGTTTTTTCTTGAATTGTTAAACCAGGCAATGAGATTCGCTTTCTATAGGACTAAGGCTATAGACAAAACAGACACTAGTCGAAGCCTTTCTGGTTCATTAAGAAACGACCTGATTTTTTAATTTTTAGACATAGGAGATGGAACCAATATTTCCTTTCAAAATTTTTTGAAGAGAAAGGAAAAAGTTAAAGGTTCCACGCTTGCTTTCCCCTTTTTTTGGGTTGTTGCCCTACCAAACCAACTTATTTAATTTAAGTAGAATGAGGTCATGTTGTATGCATTAACAATCTAATACTATTTTGTACTTGTGCTCGATTTTGTAAGCTAATCCATTAGTTTGACAATTGATCTCATATTTATTTTGGCTATAAAGAAGTAAGGTTCGAAGAAACCATAACATGTGAGCTCAATCAAATGCATTCAAATCAATAATCTTCTCCAAGATAAAAAGAAGAATGTTAATGCATTCAAATCATAGCATGTGAGCTCAATCAAACGCATTCAAATCAATAATCTTCTCTAAGATAAATGTGAATACAAGGAGAAGGGGAAAAAAGGAACAACAAAAAGAGAAAAACAAAAAAGAGGAATGGTAAAAGAAACTAGATCTAAAAAAATTAGAAGAACAAAGAAGATGGAAAAAAAACAAAGATTTCAGGGCTAACCGCCAGCCACAATTTGGCCAAGAGCAACCCCTAAACCTAAAAAGATGAAAGCTTTTTTTTTTTCCTTTTAAGAAGAGATTTCTTATCATTTTTATGTTTTTTAATTAATAAAATACCTAAAATAAATATGTAGCTATTTAATTTAATGAAATTATTTTTTGAACAATTAAGAAAAAAATGATGCGGATGAAAAAATTTCATATGAAAAAAAAGTGCTTTTGTTTGAGAATTAAGTTTAAAAGTACCCCATTTAAGAAATAAAGATTTAAAAGTGTAATGGTTTGAGAAAAAAAACTTGAGGAGAAATGATTAGGGCATGTTTTGTTTGAAAACCAAAAACATACTCCTGGAATTTAGTGTTTAACTATTTTTTTACATGGGATACATTGCGAGTCAAATAGAACATGTAAAATTATTTTAGTTTGATGATTCGTGAAATATTGTAGGTCCACTAAAATGTATCAAATTAAAGGTTGAAAAAATCATCTAATTTTTTAATCAAAATTTTGTATTTAACTAATTCTTCCTTCTGTTTTTCATTATTTGTTAACTAAAAAAATGTGATTTTTTTTATTCATGGATTATTAACTAGAAATATTTTAATAGTATAAAATAATATAAAAAAAAAGTCTTAGTATTTTTTATAAAGAAAAAAGATTGTGACAAAAAATAAAGAAAAAATCAATGTAAAAACTTACATAAAAATAGACAAATGAAAAAAAATATATACTTTTTTATTTTTATTTAATATTGATGAGAAGATATATATATATATATATATATATCTTCTCATCAATATTAAATAAAAATAAAAAAGTATATATTTTTTTTCATTTGTCTATTTTTATGTAAGTTTTTACATTGATTTTTT